TTTATGCTTGTTTCCTCGCGGTGCTGGAATAGTCTTCACTAATGTGGACCACTCTGGGTAAATCCCGTCGGCGAGATAGTATCCCATATTGTACTCGTGGCCATTAACAGTATAGTTGCACGGTGAAGCTCTTCCCTCCGCAAGTTGTGCGAAAACCGGTGAACGATGTAGCACATTGAGGTCATTGTGAGACCCCGGCAGTCCAAAGAAGGCATGCCATATCCAAAGATCTTTGCTAGCTACGGCCTCCAAAATAATTGTAGGTTCATGAAAATGCCCAGTATACATACCTTGCCAGGCGGTTGGACAGTTCTTCCATACCCAGTGCATGCAGTCAATGCTCCCAAGCATACCAGGAAAACCTCGTTGTGAACCCTCCTCGAGCAGGCGTGCAACGTCTTCATTAGTCGGTGAACGAAGGTATTCCTCCCCAAAGATGTTGATAATCGATCGAACGAACCTCTTCACGCTCTCAAGCGACATACTTTTACCGATCCGAACGTAGTCGTCAACGGCGTCAGCTGATGCTCCATATGCGAGCATCCGCATAGCTGCAGTAATCTTTTGAAGACTAGATAGTCCTAACTGTCCAGCACCATCCCTCTTTTGGACGAAATACTTGTCATGTTCGACGACTGCGTCGTGGATTCGAAGGAATAACGAACGCCTCATTCTGAACCTTTGACGAAAATAATAAAGAGGATAGGTTGGTGCGTCAGCAAAATAATCTTGGAATAACCGATTGTGGCCTTCCAGTCGGTTTCGATGGAGCACGATACGTCGTTTGTGTTGAACTGAAGTTGAACATTTCTCTTGTTCTTCTTCCTCAACAACAGCAGCTCCCATAAGAAAGAACGTCTTCTAGATGAGCTAGACATTTTGTTCTGGGAGACGATGAGTTGAGGTGAGAAGGCATTGAATTTTATAGGAATTAGTCGGTTGACGGTCAAAGTTTGCGATAACTCGAAGTTCGTGCCCAACCTCGAAGACCGCGAGCTACCTCGAAGACCGTGTGCGTTCCCTCGAAGACCGCGAGTTAACTCGAAGACCGTGTGCGTTACCTCGAAGACCGTGTGCGTACCCTTGAAAGCCGCAGGTTACCTCGAAGACCGTGTGCGCTCCCTCGAAGACCGTATCCAACGGTTAGAAATAAAATACAAGAGGTTTAAATATAATTAAAAGTAATGGGTAAAATATCAAAATAGAAGAGGGGTTTTTTTGATATTGTTGGAGTTCCTAACTAGGAGCTTGTTGGAGCTCCATAAAATAAGGAGATGCTCCCAAGGCCTATTTTTATAATTTTTTATACCAAAATGCTTGAGAGCTCTTGAGAGCTTGATGACTAGGACTCCTAACTGGGAGATTGCTGGACTTGCTCTAACGTTGTTCTCATATGCCCTCCCTTGATTTTGCGAGACAACCCAAAGTTGAGATGGTTATTTGAGATAAATAAAATTCAGGGAGTTAGTGTGAAACATACCCAAAGTTCAAGGGACTTGTGTGAAATTAACCGATTAAAGAAAATGGAAACTATAGGAAATTATTATATAACATGTGGTTGTCCTTACACTGCCTTTTGCTTCTCGGACGTAAAGGTATATGAATAATTACTCAAGGAACCATCCCCAGTTGTCTCTATCCTCACTCTCAACCTGCATAAACTAAGAGCCTGTTTGGATTTGTTGAGAGTAAAGGGAAGTTAAGAGAAACTAGGTGAGAGAATGGAAGGGAAGGGAAGGGAGTCCCTTCCCCTTGGTTACATCCCAATTTGATGGGTAACAAATTTTATACTATTAGGGGATGAACCAAAGAGAACTATGGTGAATAGCTTCACCTCCTAAATGTTCCCAAACAAGGTGAATGGAGGTGAATGGTTCCCCTAACTTCCCTTCACCCTACCTCCTAAATGTTCCCAAACAAGGTGAATGGAGGTGAATGGTTCCCCTAACTTCCCTTCACCCTTATTCTCCTCAATCCAAACAAGCAACAAGGTGAATGGAGGTGAATGGTTCCCCTAACTTCCCTTCACCCTTATTCTCCTCAATCCAAACAAGCTCTAAGAGAAATATGCAATCATTTGCATCTATCCCCGTATCTGCCAGCAATTGACCACCATACCTTCCCTTCAAAAAGCAGCCATCTAGACTAATCAATGGCCTTCAATCTTTACATAATTCTTTGCATGCTTTGAGACAAACATAAATTCTCTTCAAAGAAAGATTATCTATGTTGTGCGTCGTCGTGCGGAAGCGTGCTCGCAAACCAAACGAGTCGGCGAGCAACGAGAGAATAACCAAAACCAAACACGAGTGCAATTCACAAAATAACGGCCAAAATCACACAAACATAGAGGTTTACGTGGTTCGTCAATTGCCTACGTCCACGGAGAGAGGATGAAGAGATTTTCACTATATGGAGGAGAAATACAACGGGTTACAACTCACACAAAACTCACACAAACTCACAAAATAACCCTAACCAAAAATCCCAACTCCCTCACAATATCTCCCTCTCAAAGTGCTCAAAACAATGCTAGTTCTCTGGTTAAGAAACCCTAAAAACGTGCGTTTCTATTTATAACAAAACACAATCCAAAACATGGTGGGAATCAGAAAAAGCGTCTGCCACACCCGGGTATGACACGTACCAACCCCCTGATAACAGGGCAGATTCTGCCACACCCGGGTGTGGCACGCACCACACCTGTGGCCTGCTGAATTTTATTGTTTTTCAACACTTTAGACAATTGGATCGCCGTTTTCTACAATCTAGATACAATGTGCATGTGCTCCCTGCATTTCTTGAAAGTATCTCATGGTAGTAGCTACATATTAAGCTTTTTATATTGCTCCTTCTCTCTACCCTCAATAATTAATATGCCTCTCCAACCTCCTAGTCCACTGAGCTTTGTCCCTGGTAATTTCAGTATATACCTATCCTGCCCCCACCTTTTGAATGAAATGGTCAACATCCCACTCAGAATTTACCTTAAAATCCTCTGAACAGCACTTTGCAAAAGGAACTTAGCTTATAATAGCAGCTTTGATTAATTTTGTGACACCCGAGCAAGATGAGCGCGACTTGACATCTTTTAATTTGGATTGATTGTTGTTACAGCTGCTCTATTCTTTTGTGAAGCCCAAACTCGAAATTTGCAATATTTCTCATCAGTACACGTGCAGCCTCCACCCTAACCAAGTCATTGTGATTAATTTTAGTATTTGGGAATAACAATGATTTTGACTATTTTCTTTATTATTAGAAATGCTAACTCTTAATCCTTATAAATAAGAGTATTAGTAAACCCCTCATTTTGAGGGGTTAACTCATTTAAATCCCTCTACAGGTGTTAGCTTAACCTTTCTATATATTTTATGTTTGGCAAACTATGGAGGTTTAACTCACTATAACCCTTGTATACATTTTTTGTGTTTGGCGGGTTAAGAAGGTGTTAAGTCTCCTTAACCCTCCACTTAACCATTTACCAAACAGTAGCTAAGCAATTCAATTGGTGATTAACGGAGCCGAAACAAAACCAATCGCCGGAGACTAATAGTCTCGCATCGTCTGTTGAAATAAACACTAACAGCTTATCTCAGTTTTCTCCCTAAATAAACGGCATCATTTTTCTTGAACTCCACTTAATTGCATGATAATAGTCTCGCATCGTCTGTTGAAATAAACACTAACAGCTTATCCGTCATTTCACTTAACGGTAAATGTTAGGAGCGATTAGTCATACAATTAGTAATTACTTATATGACCGGTAATCCAAGCAATTAAAATTTAGGTGTGAACATTCAACTAATAAGGGATAAATACATTGACTAGTAATCCAATTACACCCAAAATAATATTAAAAAAAAATCCTCATTGATCACGTTCCTTCATGTTCATTGCAAGCCTTTTTTTAGTCCTTGGTGTCATACTTGCGTATTTATCGCGAAGTTTACTTAATAAGTAACGTGAAACTCGCGCCTACAATTTTTTCCAATATTTAAGGACTTTGCAAAGTGACTAATCCCACGACTGCTGATCTGTCAACCACTGCTCAGCCACTCTTCCTCACTTTTAATCCGTCACTGTCCTAACATTCCGTTCCGCATGGAAAAACACCCGCATAAAAACTCCGCTACAGGAACGAATGCTGTCACGATTTAATAAGAAAACTTACAACTTAAAGATCTTTTGATTGTAAAAATTGATCCCTGATCACTGCCTAGTATAAAATAAATTTAATTAACCCCCCTACTTATATAATATTATGTTTCGAGATCCTTTGCTTACATTCTTAATCTATCCAAGTTTAAAAATTATCTATTTTTCATGTCCTATTATGCACATATATTTAATTAAGGGGTTTTCCCTCCTATAAAACATCTTTATAAAATTAGGATAAGTATATGAAAACAACATTTTATTTGTAATTTATACAACCTTAAGATTAGATTTTAGTTACAATTAAACATCTCCCACTCAATTTTTTTAAAAAAAATTCAAATCCAAAGTAAGTGAGTTGTGTCCAATAAGACCTAGATACTAAAAAAAGAGTCGCGTACATTGAAGGTGAGTATTTTTTTTAAAATAATTGGAAAAACAACCCTTTATTTAATGTATAGAATTTCTGGCAAATGTCTACGTACTTTGACACACTAACATACCCCCCTATGCGGACATCCCTATACATTTTCTCCTCCTCCACCAACTCCACTTCCCTTGCCATCGACTCCACACTCCCAAATCAAAACAAAACCCAACAAGACCATCAAAAATACCAATTCAAAGTCCCTCAAAAAAACAATTTAATAATAAAATTTTTATAAAAAAAACAGCGAAGCGAAACCGACGCCCACTCCGGTTTAGGACAAAAGCAAAAAAGCTCAATGGGCAACTCTGAGTCCCCCATGGCCACAGAATCCCAGCCCCAAAACCCTAACCCTAACCCCAAACCCCAATTGCCCTCTCGCCCCCCCGCCACCCACGGCCGCGTCCTCAACCGCCCCCTCGTGGAGCTTAGGGCGGCGTACGAGGACCGGAGCGCGGTGCACTTGGTGATGGAGGCCTGCGAGGGGGGAGAGCTCTTCGAGAGGATCATCGAGAGGAAGTTCTACTCGGAGAAGAGGGCGGCGGGGATTTGTAGGGAGATTGTGACGGTGGTTAGGGACTGTCATTGCTTGGGGGTGATGCATCGGGATCTGAAGCCGGAGAATTTCTTGTTCCTGAGCAAGGAGGAGGATTCGCCGTTGAAGGCGACGGACTTCGGGCTGTCCACTTTCTTTAAGCCTGGTAAATTTTGGTTTTTTTTTTTTGGTGGTACTTAGTAGCATAATTATGGTAATTTCAAGTAATTATTTTTTCTACTGACTTGGTTATGGCAGAGAAAAGTTAGAGAAGTTTGTGTTTTGCTTAATTCAGAAATGAGCGTAAGAGAAAATTAAAGACTGGCATTAGAGCTATGCATTGACAGTTTATTGTTGATTTCTTTTTCAGGTAGGCCCTCTCTAAATTTACCCGTGTATTAGTCTGAAGCTCATAATATCAGCCTAGTAATTCAGTCTTTAACCCCAAATAAAATTTATATAAAATATAGGTTGTTTATGTATATACCTCTGAAATTAACAGTATTTGAAAGTTTACCTGAAGTCTAGTGGTGTGTTTGGGAGTTTACTAAGGGAAGGGAAGGAAAGGTAAACAACGGGAAGGGAAGGGAAGGGAAGGGAAGAGAATTGTAATATATTGTTTGGGAGTTGAGTAAGGTGAATGAAGGTGAAAGGAAGTAAATATATGTAAATTTACATAAATGACTTTATACTAATAACACATCAGCCCTTTTATTTGTTTTGATGGGGGTAAGAATGTCATTACACCCCTTTACCCTCCTTTACCCTCTTCTACCGCCCAAATCGGGGGGGAAAGAAAACCAAGCAATTTTACCCTCCTTTCCCCTTCTTTCCTCCTCTTTACCCTCCTTAAAAAAACTCCCAAACAAGGTGAAAGCCTCATTTCTCTTCCCCTCCCCCTCTCTACCCTCCATCCAAACAGGGCATAGATATCTGTTAATTTACTCCCCCAATTCTACCATACCAATTTAAATATATCCCCCAAATTTAACTTTGTCGATTATGGAATGGTGGATGGGGGAATTTCAGCTAAACGTCTAACATAAATTATGATATCTCATATCTTGGGAATATCCCTTAAGGTATTCTTGGACTTGGAGGGTATTTTAATTTAAGTTGGCAGAACTTGGGGCTAAGTTAGCAAATATCTATATTTCCAGTCAATATGCAAATACGACTAGTTTGATGGTATACACTTCAAAAATAACTACAAAAAAAATGATAACATCTTCGTTGCCCAAAAAGGAATTAAAAAATAACTGTTCCCAACAAACTATTCTAGTTAAGAAGTTCAAATATGAGATATTTCTAATCACACATCGCTCTTGAGATAAAAGATGTATACTCATAATGTTGTGTCAATAGCACCAATATAATCAGATCCGATATGCTGCTTTATTACCGTTTTCTTTTACATTGTTATCTTTTTGTTGTAGATCATGGTTCCTTATTTTCGTTATGTACCTGTTAAGGAAAAATATCTCAATTGATAGCTCTTACATCACAATCTTCCTCATAACCTTGAGTTGCTGAGTATTGCAGTTTGTTTTTTCCTCCTCTTTTTTGTTCCTACATAGAAAGTTGCGGTTGTGATGACAATACAACTTTGTCTGATACAGGAGATTTATTTAAAGAGCTTGTGGGTAGCGCATATTATGTAGCACCTGAAGTATTGCGACGACTATATGGTCCTGAGGCTGATATTTGGAGTGCTGGAGTGATACTTTACATCCTTCTGACTGGTGTACCTCCATTCTGGGCAGGTGTTTGTTATCATCAAATCCCCAATACTGATTTTTTTTAATAAAGCTTTGTAGTGTCAATTTAGATCCTAATTTTCATCTCTGCAGATAACGAGAAGGGCATATTTGAGGCTATATTACGTGGTAATATCGATTACACATCTGATCCTTGGCCCTCAATATCAAGCAGCGCAAAAGATTTAGTTAATAAAATGCTGCAGGCAGATCCAACAAAACGTCTTTCTGCTGTTGAAATCTTGAGTAAGATCATAAGCTTAGGCTTATGCCGCTTATCTCATACTCATTTCCTACATTTTATTTACTTATTGTCAGTATGCATAATTGTACATAGTTGTTTGTCATGCTTATTTTTCTAGAATTTGTCGAGTTTTCACCATCATTTCATGATATACAACTCTGTGGTGAGAGCTCTCATGGGAAGTTTTGATATATTAAAACTGTCTATCTGGTGTCGTGAATCAAGCCTCTAAGTTGGTAGCAAATTTGCCAAAAGAAACAATGCGTAGTAGACGGTTTGCTACACTGGAATATAGTGGCAGGTGCAGAAAACCTCATTGGTTATGATATCCGAGTATTTCAGTTGACCAAGGGGCAAAGCCCTTATAAGTCCTCTCAAGCCAAGAAATTATCTTGACATATGAGTCGGACAAAGTTTTCAGTGAAAATTTATCATGTTTGAACAGAACATAAGGAAAAAGGTCCGACAAAAACATATTTCGCATTGGTAACCTTTATTGATATACTTCTTACAGGAGTGGATGTTAATGATAAACGTGGAAATGACTTCCATTTAACTAAATCTTTAGAGTATGTTCATATGTATGGCTTTAATCATCTTCAAAGAAATCTCTTCATTTAGTTTAACAATTAAAATTTTTACAGAACATCCATGGATTAGGGAAGATGGGGATGCATCTGATGAGCCGATGGACATCACAGTTATAGGAAGAATGAGAAAGTTCAGAGCGATGAACAAGCTTAAGAAAGTAGCCTTGAAGGTGACTGATACTCATCCATTCATTCTTATTTATCTTCTATCTGGTATTCTTTTTCCTTAATTATTATAAACTATACGCTTTCAGGTGATTGCAGAGAATCTTTCAGAAGAAGAAATCATTGGTTTAAAAGAGATGTTCAAATCTATGGATACTGATGGCAACGGCACAATAACCTTTGACGAACTGAAAGCTGGTCTGTACAAATGGGGTACCAAGCTTTCTGATTCTGAAGTGAGGCAGTTGCTGGAGTCGGTATGACATCTAGAGACTTCCTTACATCGAGTTGGAATTCCATTTCTTCTTTGTGTGTGCATCCTGCTACAATCTTCTTAAAAGTTACGCAACATCAAGTTCATAGGAAACTTGATGCATCTAACAGTGATTCCATTGTGGATGAAATATAGTTCTTGTCAAAGGACTTTAAAGGCCAAGATTCAAGTAGAATCTACTCTTACCTTACAAAGTTTGCAGTTGTTGATTTTACCTAGTTATGTTAGGAATTCAGAAGTAGGAATTCAGAAGTTGTTTATGATTCTGTTTATTTTCCTATTGTGTTTGGTTACTGGTGAGTAAATGCCGTAGTGGCATGACTTTCTTGCAGGCTGATGTGGATGGCAATGGCACCATTGATTATATTGAATTTATAACAGCAACAATGCATATGAACAGAATGGAAAGAGAGGATCGTTTATATAAGGCATTTTTGTATTTCGACAAGGATAACAGCGGGTAAATTTCCTTCTTTTCTTTTTTTTTTCCATGTACTTCATTATTTTGTTTAAATTCTTATATGGTATACTGAATTGCTAAATATTTATCATTTGTTCTTGTGCGTAGGTATGTCACAATGGATGAACTGAAACAAGTTCTGGAACAATATAATATGAGGGATGAACAAAAGATAAAGGAGATAATTTCAGAAGTTGATGTTGATCATGTAAGCTTTATTTACTTCAATAAACAATTCTTTTTCTGATTTACTAGCAGGAATTGCAACTACCTAAAAAACTCCTGTTATTGCTAGTCAATCTTGAATTACTAGTTGTTTAGGAAATGCTAGAATGGTTGTACTGCTAGAATATTTGTATTTGTGAATTTGCGTGTGACCTTGCCTCAAACTAAATCATCAGACATATTGCTTATAATCTCAAACTCTAGTAAAATGGTAGTTTGCACGTTATTCTTCCTCAAGTTGTTTAAACTTTTGAAAGTTTATCACAAGAGCATTGTTTTTTAAATGCTAAGGTTAAGTTTTAAGATCTATGATATTTCATCAGTGTCATATGCCTATCACCATAATCATTATTTTTGTATGTGTTGCGAACAATGTCTTAATGGGGAATAAAAAGGTGGACATAGTTAGGTGTTTGAGGTTTGTTATCCTAAAAAAGAAAGAATACGGAATCAATTACATAAAATTTTCAACTTCACCTGCATCTCTCTGCTCTATATGTAATTATATGTTCTTTTTTTCAGGATGGAAAAATTAACTATGACGAGTTTGTAGCCATGATGAGAAAAAACAACCAAGAGACACAGATGGTTCTCAACCAGACAATTGAAGAACACTTACGCTAG